AGATATATGGATGTACCCTTCACCGCGGCAGTAGAGGAAAGAAGATCCGAAGTGCATGGAAAAGCATATCCATGTCTTTGTTCAAAAGTCATTTTGAGAATTTGGGGTTATGCCTTCCGTCACTGCTTGTCATAGTGTCCGTACTCTTATTACAACAAAACTGACAAATATATACAGGGAATTATACATACAGGGACTCTACTACTAGCAAGCTGTCAAATTATCTGCAGACACAAAATGCCTACTTACAGCTGATTCAAAAATGTATCCATCAGAGCGGATACGTTAATTGTGAGTATGTTATCTGAAATAAAGACAAATTATCTAACGACATTTTCAACAAAATTCAATAGATCTCTCTCATGAATTATCACAACTGAATTATTAGGTCAGTTTTGATAGATTCAATATACCTAATTTGGAAATGATGCTATAGATCAGGATTCAATCAACTTATTTCTGATTTGAAATACTATGATTTGATTATATGTGAGTCACCACTGAGTGGGAAGCAAACACACGAACATAGACGTGAATAGCTTCCAGAAAAATCAAGGGCGATTTGGATTCGACTATTCAACTGAAGAAAACGGTTTCATCTGAACGTCAAGGTATTCGAATAACAATCAATATGAATACAATCCAATGAATAAGAATTACACCATCCTAATAAATATTTGATATTATTCACGATCATCTGCTATATTGTTGAAAGCCATCAATCATTATAAAATATACCTATAGCAACATTTTTTGTGCTCGAACTTGCAGTACTTATATACCATAATAATATACTTCGCTGAGATAAGCTCAGAATGACATCAGGATTGTTTTCCGCTGCAACCTGCGTTAACAATTGGACAAAACTGCCTATATCTGTCTCGATTGGCCGCTCGGGTCTTCCTTCCGCCGATGATCAGAGAGATTCGGATATTCTCACATTCCTTCACTTGGAGACTGGCCGATGTGATGTAACCATCAAATACACTGAGCACTGTTTACTGTTTGCACGTTGTAAAGTGGATTTACTCACTACCAAATTTGTAGTCACTCAAAAGGTTCTCTTACAGTATATATTTTATAATTGATAGATATTCCACACAATTGATTGATTCTGCCATGACTGCCTGTAATTCTGATGTGAGCGAGAATAAATATAAATTATTATGTCACTCATCTCTAATGCAACGTCCTATTTCATTATTCGCTTCAATTTTGAAAACACTCAGTATTTTTGTATTATCAGCAATGGATATTGGCAGATGCGCTACGATCTGATTATTCCTAATTAGTGGGGCCCGCGAGAGTCTCGTTTTCGAGAGCCTCGCATGGTCTCGTCCCGTTTTCGAGACAAGACTCGAGACGAGACTCGGACAAGACGAGACGAGACTTTAATTGGTCTTGTCTCGAGTCTCGTGCAATACTTCTCGTGCCCCGTGCGAGAGTCTCGCAGGTGAATATTTCTGCGTGCCGACTGCAGACTTGAGAATTTCATTCATAATACAAAATATTTAGAAAGAATTCAGACTATTTAGCAGAGATAGATAAAACATTGCATTCATAAATACTTCAAAAACACAATCCATGATTGTTGTAAAACGACTTAATGCGTGGAACAAAAACGGACTATTCTCTCTCTTACGGCGGCGGAATTTAAAGGCAATTCTGCAATAACGACAGATCGCAAATTAAATGACTTCCTGAAAATCTATAAATGAGTCATTCTGTGCTAAATAGTCTAAGATAAAGGATATCTCTATGTCTCAACGACTGGGTGAAAAACAAAAACATTTGCGATCGTGAAGGCTGATCTGACTGTTAAAGGTTTTTTTTAGATACCTATTTCTTAAATGAGTAAAATAATGTTGGATGAAAGTTTTTGTTTTGTTTATTTTTTTAGAATAAACGTGTTACTTCTTATTTCATTTTTATAACTTTCGAATACATAATGCATGTTTTTTTCTTGTTTAGATGTTATGTTATGATGTAAGTATGTACCTATTAGGTACTTACTTTTCAATAAATGATGTTATTCTTGTTGTACTTTCCTCTTCCTACTTCTACATTATACCTAAAAAGTAGATGAAAAGTAAATATCCCGTACTAGACTGGAACAAGATTATGCATGACGAAATTGCGATACATCCGCGAGACTCATCTCGTACGAGACGCGGGACAAGACGAGAGTTGAGGCTGCGAGACGAGACTCGAGACATGACTTCATATTTCATCGGCGAGACAAGACGAGACTTTATGAAAGTATCGTCTCATTGGTCTCGTGTGAATCACTTTCCCTAATTTCTACCACTTGCTGAAGAATCTACCAGTATTTACCTCTTTTTGAGACGTAAAGTGTGTTTTTTTTCCAAGATAGTTTTCGTCCTATCATGAACTACTTGCTAATCATTAGAGACATGGCTACCTATGTTATGATTAATGAACCCGAATTCACTCTTCTGATATGAAATTCGCAGGAGTGACAGTCGAATTCAGTAGGTATCTATCAAGAACGACTTGTCATATGCTGTCATGGTCATGTCTACTAGATTCGAATTACAATGAAAAAGGAGTTTTGAGGGCCATATTTTAGTTTCGCTGAACTATGATGGTAAAAAAATATTGCTAATGATGAAAAAGAATAATAATAATCACTATGGTGTGGAGAATATCATTACCACAAAACTATGATGGTTAAAATATATTGCTCATGGTGAAAAAAAAATAATAATCACCATGGTAGTGGAGAATATCATTACCACAAAACTATGATGGTTAAAATATATTGCTACCCAGGAAACCAGATGACGAATGATCACGTCACTGTGACGTCCCTTATTGGTGATTTTTCGTCAGAGACGTCACACACCAATTTATGACGTCACTATGACGTACTTTCTATGACGTGATAATCACGTCATTGTTTCGACGTCGAGTGAACGTCACTTAGACGGGTAAAAGAAGACGTCAGTTTCATGACGTTGCAGGGACGTCCTGTCGACGTCCATTTTTCCCAGACCTCTAAACCATGGATACTTATATATTATCATGTGAAACAGAAGTATAACTCATGAAAGCGAATCAACATGCAAGTTTTATTCTAATAATATACCCAAAAACTAGTAGAAAAACTTTTTCTAAAGAACTTTGACACGCTGTATATCTCGGAAACCAACAAGCTATGTATATATAAAAATGATTGTTCAGGTATACCTATAGTGAAACCGTTACTCTTATGACGTATCTATGACGTCTAAAAATCACGTCGGTGTGACGTACCAATTTGGTGAGCTTCGTCATTTAGGACATTTTTCAATAATTCACTATTTAGATTTTTGTTGGGTGATGAAGAATGCATCAATATACATTATTTAACAAAGTGAAGCCAAATTCGCCAACATCCTTTCCATTGCTATCAAACTATTCTTTGTTTGCTTACATCTCGCCGACACCAACTACATAATTTTTGATACAAATACGATTAACTGATTGCATCCTAATGAGGATGCGTACTGAAGGATGGCGCTGCTGAATAGGCGATTGAATAAACATGTGACAAAGGAGGGACCCACCAAGCAGACTCAACAATGCATAATCAATATTATATAATGTCAACAGAGGCTAGTGGTGTTATCATCACACCATATTGAAGGAATCTTTTTTACGTATCATCGCCAAATTCAATCGTCATTTTGACGTCATTATGACGTCAGTCGGACGTCACTGTTTGGTGAGTAAATGATGTCAATACGACGTGAGTAATATGACGTCATTGGGCTGTGACTCATTCACGTCATCATCACGTCAATGCGACGTCAACTACTGACGTCACCTTGGTCATTCAAGTAAAAAAGACGTCACTGATGGAACGTCATCTGGTTGCCTGGGTAATGGTGAAAAAAAAATAATAATCACCATGGTATTGAAGAATATCATTACCACGGGACCTTCCACCCTTCTGCTGAAGCCTCAGGATATAATCTTGGTCCCTGGGTAATGATGATATCCTTCACTACATATTGGTGTATAAATTACTATTATTGTGCCCCATCTCCTTCTGCTTCTCCATTGGCTCTTCGTTAACAGCAGAATACCCAATTTTGTTATAACCCAGCTAGCACAAAAACATTCCATCAATGTTGACGTAATATAACTCTCGGAATTTGAATAGACTGCGCGATGTTCTTTGAGAGTTATTTGGGCTTTACATGTACCGCCAAATGTCCGCAACGCGAGATTTTAGTAGAACATCTCTGGTATGACACAAGAAACATCAATGTTATGTTTGGGAGTTACATTGAGAAAATGTTCTGATGAAACCTTCCTGGGATATTATATGTAACATATAAGAGATGATTACTAGTAACATTTGTGTGATTTTCAATGTGACATCACAAGGTAATTAAAAAATATTCTTTTAGAACATTACATAGTTTCATTCATGGCACATTAACGGCAAGGTATGGCGAATGTTACTTTGTGACATAATATAGATGTTTAATGAACTGTACCTAGTATATATTCATTTGCATTTTTGATGAATTAAAAATACGAATTTTCGAATTTATTTTGTCATGTTTCTTGTATACCAGGTGACCCAGGAGTATCCCTCTGTAACTTTCTTAGTTCCACTGACAAAAATATTTAGGTTTTTATATGAAACAGCAAAAATTGATATCACCAGAAGTGAGAATGTCTATTCATAGAGATGTCATGAAGTATAATTTTACATGTAATGGATATTTCATTCCAACAACTGAAAAAGTTACAGAGGCTACCCAGCTCCTGGAACATCCAGAATAGAACACCATGACTAAAACAATCGAATCTTTTCACCTATTATTAACACAAAAAATCGTACCCCTAAAGTTAAGCACTTTATCATTTTGTTTCACAGAACTTTCTCATGAGTTCGAAGAATAAAATATTAAGATACAAAATCAAATATGAAATTTATTCAAACAAAAAGTTCAAAATTCAGTTTATGAATACAATAATATTGATTATTCCAACAAAGTTCTTTTATTCAACTTCAGAACCTCCCTAAGCTGCCGCTGTTTTCCGTGCCGAAACCATTCAGCTACATGTTGCTCAAACTCTTTAGCATTGCAGCCCTCATTAATTCTGATAACTCCTAGAAAAAATGGTTCAATTACACCTAACCTAACCTGGTCTAAAGATATTAAGTAAATGGTGTTTCTGATCAGCAAGATATGTTATCAGACAAGAGCCGGATTTTTGCATGGGCACTATAGTTCTTTATCAGTATTGCATATGGAACAAAGTTTCTTACCAAATATGATTCTCATGATTTGTAAATGGCCCAGTTCAAAGTTATTTTTTCGTCCTGTCCAAGAACATAATTCCGATAGGGCATTGGTGAAAACTTGTTTCAACACTCTTGTGATGAAATCTTTGGTGTCTTTTCCACCAATCGATTTTACAAAGTTAGTCTGAAATTAAAATATGAGTATGAAAAACTAAGAAAAGTAATTTTCAATACTTATCTAAAGATAACACAATAATGATAATAATACTAATGATAGCTGATTTTAGTAATATACAGGAAATTTACATCAAAATTGAATATTGATTGAAAAATATTAGAAAACTAAACCTATTGAATGAGTCTTTCATCTGAAGAAACATTTGTTAGTGAAACATGTGTTTTAAAGAATCATGTGAAATTCGTATGTTTGTGAAGTTTCAAGTTATAATTATTATTTTCAGCATTTTCAGCAAATATAGTACCCAACAACCAAGTCAATACAAAAAAAATTATAATTTTACTTACAAAACTTTGTTTTCCTTCTTCTGTTTTGACAAAAGCTTCCAGTGCCTCAATTTCTGGAAGACTTTTCAATGGCAATACCATTGGAAATGCTATTTCTTTCTCTGTAGCAATGGGGCCTTCGTTCATTCTTTGTTTAATTTCCATAACATCAATCTTCATTTCAATTAGCATGTTTAATATTTTTCCAAGATTTGTGTGAATGGAGTGTATATCTTGATCTTAAATAATAAAAAGTATTTCAAGATTTGGAAACAATAGTTTCCGACTACCATTGTTTCCAAATAAACTCAAATTATTGATAGAAACATAATAAGACATTTTTAATGGAGTGAAATGAAAATCTGTAACCTAAAAACTTTGATTAAATCTGCTTTTGAAAGAAGTTTTCAATAATGAACACTGTGAGAAAGGGTTGATTGAAGATTAGAATGAATATCACAAAAAAATTATTCCCATACAGAAAGCTGAATGACGAATTTTGGCCAAAGTGAAATAAAACGCGGAACTGTGATCAAAAGTGATTTGAATGGTAAAAAACTGATCAAGTAATTGTATGTTGTCACATTATAGGGAATATCTTTAGTGCGCTCCAAGAGATAAAAAAAAATTTTAGATGTGAGAGAAATAAATGAGTTTACCAATAATTGCTAGGGGGTCTGGCATAATCTTGAGGTGAATACTGATGATTACTATCAACAATTTGAGTTCTTTTATACAGGGTGAGTCAATAAATACTTAGTATGTTCTTCTTCACATATAATTATTTTTATATCTACAGTTAGTTGATGAGATGAGTTTTTTCAAATAGGACAGCCTATATATTATTGGATTTTTAGATTCTCCCTGGAGAGCTGATTTTATTAATGCTTCACACTTGGGGTCAAGTGAGGATGATAGAGATAAAGGGTGTTCAAAAAACGAGATTTTTCAATTTTAGGATTTTTTTGTATTATAACTATTCATCATTGGTCAAAACGGCTTACATGTCCCTATCTCAATTTTGGATTAACTATCTACTGACATTTATTTGGAACAGATACAGGGTGATAAGAATTCTGAATCTTGAACCACCCTGTATTTGTTCCAACTAAATGTCAGTAGATAGTAAATCAAAAGTTAAGATAGGGACATGTAAGCCGAGGTGTTTTAAGCAATGTTCTTGCATCAACAGGAACATTTATTCTATGTTTGTGCAAAATTTTCAATAAATGCGTGACATGATTTAGTGGCACACTGAATTTCACAGCCCATGAACGTAAATCTTCAATTATTGACTGTTTATCAACAAAATTTGGGTTTGTGCATTCATCACAGGAACAGAAATAAGTGGCAGTTGAATCATGATCAACTTCTACCTGAGATATTAACTTTGATGGTACCAGAGGAACGCTAGTACTGTCCCAAGAACTTGATGCTAACGAATCTGGTGAATCAAAAGGATTTAATAAGGCTGTAACCTCAAAGGGTTGAACTCGATCTGATGTTGGAGTAAGATTTCCTTGCTGTATTTCACTTGTGGATGCTGCAGTTGGAACTCTATCTCGAAGATCAGGTCGTAAAATTGTATCATCATCAGGCACGCTGTTCGATAACTTTTGCCGAATTCTACGGCGGTGCCGCGCCGAAATATTCTTCAATGATTTGTACATTATGAAACTATCAGAAAGTATACTTACCCAAGACACAGCTTCAGGAACAAGCTTAATCGATAGAAATCAATCATTCGATAAATATGTATATTTTACACACACAACACCCTGCAACAACACCTGCTACAACTGAGGGGCAAAACGTAGGCTAAACGACCTAATCAAAGCCAAAAGCCATTATTAGTTTGTTTATGCCAAAAGCCAAGAACTAACGCTAGAAAAACCGCCAAACCCAAAACCATAACACTTTAGAGAAAGAGTGAGGTTAGGAAATTTTTATATGTTCTTCTTTTTTGTTATGTGGGACATTCGTGGTTCGTTCGGAAATACATAACATCGTCGGTGTAATTAGCAAAGTGCGTAACTCCACAATGACTAAATTTTCAGGAGAGCAATAAAACTGAATGACTCAACTCCAAGATTCGAATCATTTGGATGAGAGCGAAAAATTCGTAACTCCATGATAACGATTATAAACCCAATTTCAATTGATTTTTATTGATATTGATCATTATCAAGCATGCATCATTCAGTATAAATGTTTTAATTACCTTTTCCAATGTGAGATTGCATATTTTTTCACTATAATAAACCAGAAGTTGATGATGTTCTGCCGAACATGTGAACAGTAGACAAGGAGATACGAATATTGCCGAACATAAAATGGCGCGTTGGAGTTACGACTTTTTCTTTATTGAGTTTATTCTGCTGGAGAAATTTATTTGGAGATTGACCGTTTTCCAACATATTCGTTGAATTTTTTCCCAACAGATGGCACAAAAATGTCATTTTGACCCAATATTGGAGTTACGCACATTGCTAATTACACCGACGACATGTTACTTAACATTTTGAGTACAGTGTAATGGACTGGTAATGGACGAGAAACGTTTTGAAGGGATAATAACAGATTATATTACTCATATGTCTACTAGACATTGTGCATGAACATAACTTAGTGAGGTAAATTCAATTCCAAAAAGGTTCATTACATTTACTTCTCTAAAGAACATCTGAGGAAAGTAGTTCATTAAAGTCCCACTAATGTGAAGGTCATGTAGAATTGAAACATCACATTATTCGAAATATGTTTTCTTTGGGAGCGCACGGATACATTGGTAAAACCTTATATTAATGTACCAGTTGATATTACATATGTTGACTTAAACAGAACATTGCTGAAAAGCCCAGTTATGTTTGTGCTAGCTGGGAATTCTTCACACTCACTGTGACTTAGCTAGGTTATTTGCACTTCAGATAGTATGAGCTCATTAACGTCGATATAAATATCAATATGAGTCAATATCAATGAATGTCTACTACAGATGAACGTTCAAATTTTCAATTAACAATTCAATGATTATTCACACCATTCCTTCATAAACAAACTGGAATATGTTATCTGAAGAGTAGATGATACAGAAAATTCAGTATAGATAGTAAAATTCTTGTTTGTTTATTTGAATGGAATGATTACTTGAAGTTAAGAGACCAAATGATATTTGCATGATTTTTGATTTTACCATTTTGAGAAGAGTAATCAGTTTGTGTATTCTAAAATTATCCAATATACTCAATCACTTCGTTAATCGTAAGAATATTCATGAATGTGATTAATTTTAAAATATTCTTCAACCTTCTCATCATTTAACTTTCACACAGAGAAAACGAACGAATGAAACATCCTAAATCATTAGAGTAAACATTACCAATCAATGATTTCATTCCATTTATCAATAATTGTAATAGTCGTCTCATTTCAAGGTGAAGAGCTACCATTTCTGAGCAATTGATGACCAAAATATCATCATTCTGTAATTATCAAATGATTGGATGAATCGAAATATCTATAATACTATTTTTTCATTGTTTAAGGTTCCCATTTTCCTGATTTTGACACTGACGTTCATCATATGCCAAAAAGGAAGTGATGAAGGAAGACCATATGAGTTCGGATTTACCATTGAAGGGCAGCAACATAGACACGAAAAAAAAGGTTCGTGATAATCATTATTCATTGATGGAGATTATATTAAATTTGACTATTCGATCTAGAATTAAGATCGAACGAATGGATTCTAGAATAAATCATTTCATATTTAATTTCACAAGAGATCATCAAGGAGTTCGATTATTCTCTTAGAGCGCACGAATATAATCAATCAAACCGAAGGTCGATGCTTCCCTATGATTGCCAGTGCTGTGTTCAGAGTCTGTCCAAGATAAGGTTGAACAGCATGGGGATCTCGGAAACGGTAGGAGATACGAAGTCGCTCAAATAAGGAAAAAGTTGCGCATTCGGAGGCTCATATCAAGAGCCTTCGAAAATTTTGAAAATTTATCTTTAGTTTTTGAGTTATATCGAAAAAAGTGAATTTTTTGAATTTCTATTTTTTTTTCTCCGTTATTATCAGATACAGAAAAACTGATAATACTTTTTCATAGGAATTTTTGATGACGTTCAACGTGGTGATACCGATTCTTTTATGCAAGGTTTCGTATTCGTGGAACCATCATCAACTTTTGTTTCTGAAATACGGTCCTGATAATTTTTTCAAAGATTCTGAAAGGTTTTTCCATTCTTAATTCAACCATATACTGAACAAGGTGATTCGAATGTGTTTCGACCTATTTCTATCCATCATCAATGTTTTTTCGAACTTCCAAAGGAAAAAAGCCATCAGTTCCACTTATTTCTGATCATTTAGTGTCGAACTTGATGGATAAGTTATTATTACTGAAAAGTGAATGAAAAATATTTCACTACATCATTCGATCAATGCAGCGTTTAATATTGTTGATGAATTCTTACACGAATTACTTTAACAACTTAACTTTGACAATACCTACAGAGACATTCATAACAAATGTTCAAAATTTATTTTCTGAACAAAGATATGCTCTTCTCACAGTTGCTTCTAAGACATTGCTAAGCATTTTTGAAGTTATTCTATTGAATGCTTCGAAGACACTGTTCCTTAGTTCTTCTTCATCATCAAAGTTATTTGCGTGTACAAAGTTCGATATATCCCCTAAGAAGAGATCCAGCTGTGTCAAATGAGGCGACTGCGCCGGCCAATGGATAAAAACGCACAGACTTCCCTGGAAATATGTATCGGAGCGCCATCTTGTTGAAACCAAAGTTCTGATCTTCCGCAATCGATAAATAATCCAGAGCTTCCTCAATATCATTCTCAAGCGAATTTCTATAACGTTCGGAAGTCTGTATTTCATGGTAAATAGGAGGAACAATAACTCGTGTACCAAATATTGCAACCCACATATTAAAGCCGAAACGGTGTTGGTGTCCCGCTGTAATGTATAAATGTTCATTTTCTCGTGAACAATAATGTGTATTTTTTCTATCGACCATGCTTTTTTCAGTCCAGATGATTGTTCGAGGGAAATCTGCAAAATTTCAACATTTCCTGGTATACCACTCACATAATGTCCTGCGCCCTTCGTCATCGCCTGGTTTCAGCGCTTGACATATTCTGAATTTTTATGGACGGAATTTTTGTTTCCGCAAAATGAAATGGGTTGTTGATTGAAACCAGTTGATGAGGTATTAGTGTGCTGACTAATTTTCCTTCAAAATCAGTGAAACTTTTTTTTTATCGCTTGGAGCGCACGAAAGGGAATCCCTATAATGTTCAAAGAACATCGTGCGTTACTAGGGAGGATAGGGACAGGAGGTAGGTATTGGAATTTTTTTTGAACTTTTGGAGATTATATGTTGTTGGGAATACTTCCACAGGCATTGAATTCCAGAGCCTAGCCGTTCTATGGATCAAGGAGTCTTGATAAAGTGCTGTTCGACATCTTTCGCGGTTGACAACGAAAGGATGTGCTAACTGGGCTTGTCTAGTTCGTCTGATTGGTATTGCTAGTGAAGGGATGATAGCAGAGATTTCCGAAGAACATTTCCCGTGGAAGTATCGATAGAAAAGTGAAAGGTCGCCGACCTTTCTATGGTGTTCCAATGATGTCAAATAGTGAGTGAGTGTGGCGTCACCCACCAGGCGAATGGCTCTTCTCTGGATGGAATCTAAGAGCATCAGCGAATGTTTTGGTGCTGATGCTGCTATGTGGGAACAGTATTCTAGAACAGGCCGTATCTGCGCTTTGTAGATCATGAGAAGCTGTTGAGGTGTGAAGTAGCTTTTCGCACGGAACAAGGATCCGAGTTTTCGTGAAGCAGCTTTTGCGATGGATCTGACATGATTATCCCATGAATGAGTGATGCTGATGGAAATACCGAGCATAAATATGGTGGGCTTGGTGAGGATGGTGGAGCCAGACATTACAATATCGGGCATACTGAGTTCTGCCTTTCTAGAGGAAATGCAGGCTTGAGTTTTGGTGGCGTTGAATTCAACTAGGTTGTTGGTTTCCCAGGCTGTGATTTCAGCAAGATCTTCATCGACAGCATCGACCTGCCTGCGCCGTGAGCATATTCATATGTTACAGACACAACTAGCCACTTCGGAAAGCCGAACGATTTCATTTAAGTTACAGACGTAACTTATGGATTCCGTCGGTAACCCATGCCTAGATGAAGCAACGCTGTACATTTTATTATGTATTTATTAATATAGTTTTTTCTGCGAATTTGAGGAAGGTAAACATCCTTCCTGCACAAGACCTAACTCGGCGAAAGAACCTTTATTTACCTTCCTCAAATTCTCAGAAAAAACTATATTAATAAATACATAATGAAATGTACAGGCATAAGTTACCGACGGAATCCATAAGTTACGTCTGTAACTTAAATGAAATCGTTCGGCTTTCCGAAGTGGCTAGTTGTGTCTGTAACATATGAATATGCGCGCCGTGATGGCATTTTTCTTTGGAATTTCGAAAAAACATTGATGATAACTGAAAATAGGTCGAAACACACATTAACCACTTTGTATAATACATGGTTGAATTCAGAATGGAAAAACATTTCAGAATCTGTGAAAAAATTATCAGGACCGTATTCAAATAACAAAAGTTGATGATGGTTCCACGAATACGAAACGTCGCATGAAAAAATCGGTATCACCACGTTGAACGTCATCGAAAGTTGCTATAAAAAAGTATCCTCAGTTTTGCTGTATCTCTAATAATAAAGGAGAAAAAAAATAAAATAGATATTCCAAAAATTCACTTTGTTCGATATAACTCAAAAACTAAAAATAATTTCTGAAATTTTCGAAGGCTATTGATATGAGCCTCCGAATGCGCAACTTTTTCCCCATTCAACCGACTCCGTGTCTCTCACCGTTTTCGAGATCCCCATGCTGTTCAACCTTATCTTGGACAGACTGTATAGTTCATCATTGAGTTTGTCATGAAACTCCTGACCCTTATTCTTCAAGGCGATTACACTGAGAGAAAACTTGAGTTATAATAATTGGAAATCTGAAAACAGTCATAACGATATCTGCAATGAATATAGGGGACAGATATATGTGTTCATTTGCTTCCATATTCAATTTGCAAACTTGTTTAAACGCCGCTGATGAATAACTACCACTTTTTCTAGTTTCTATGATAACACAGAATGTGGAATAGGAATTATTAACATATACATGATGCAGTAACTTATCCATCCTACAGTGGTTACTAGACTATCGTCATAAAACATACTATTTTCATTACTGGCAAAACCATCTTGAGGTAATGCAGTTATTCTTCTCATTTTATTATATATGTAGTTATCTGATATCTGACTGAAACCTTTGACCATTTTGACATGCTATTGTAATATAGCTCATTTTCAACAGTTATCCCAATATTTTTCTACTTTAGTATATTTATCAAACAGTGGTATTTCGTAGTTGTAGTGGTAATAAGGTTATATAATCACATTTTTTGATGGTATGCATAATGAAACCGTGCTTTGAATCACTGCAATGAAAATAAATATTCTCCACACTTACTCTTCATGATACAAAGTTATTTTTCTTGAAAAACGAATAATACGATCAGCTTCTGAACTGAAATATCTGAGTTTCGCTGGAAGTGTTTTGACAATACTCATTGATTTTTTTGGAGAAATATCATCTTTATGCATACTGATGATTTCATTTAAAATGAGAAGTTGAATACTTATATATATTTACTCTTCCTACGAAATTATAATGGGAATTGTCAAAAAAACTTCCCTCACAGAAAGCGAGATATTTTAATTCGGAATCTCATCGATCATTTTGTTTCTCGAAATAAACCAATTTCAGTCCGTGAAAAGTGGGTATGGAGAATATTTTTTCCATTGCAGTAATGCAATGCACGGTGTATCCTACTCCAAATATACCTCTTTCATATCAAAATCTTCACACAAGCATATATGGTGAATGATTTTTTTTTTCAGAATAGTAAGTGAAATAGGTGAAAGAGTTGATTGAAAATTTACAGGCAATTAAAAGATTTTCCGACACCACTTTGTATTTGCCTGCAATTTCAGCAATTTCTAAAAAAAGATAGCAAAGAAATGATATGGACCAAATAATAGGAGAATTTCTGACATTCTCACAAAGATATCACTGTGAAAATACTGTATCGCCCTGATGCACTTTTCTGTTGCTTCTATTAACCTCTAATTGGTGGTACATGTTCTAGTATTTGTCGAAGATCTATCACCAACTTGATTTCTTGGAAATAAGTGAATCATGCCGCAGTATAATAAATCGAAGTGAGATCGTGAAAGTAACGTGATACTGAAAAGGAAATTGTGACATTGATAATCAACAAAATCTTTAGAACAAAATTACTCTCAAATTGTCTTTAGGACTTGGTTCAAGTGAATTAAATACCATATATGAACTATGAGGTTTGAATATTCTCTATAAAAGAAATATAACTTCCTCAAATATTTCAATATTTCAAGTGAAAGTTTTTGATGGGTCAAGATTCCAACATAATTATTTAAAAACATGTACTAATACCTGAAAAGATCAGTTCATAATGTCAACTACTCAAGTTACAATGAAGCAAACATATTTTCAACTG